AACAACAACAAATCTTTATGGATTCCTCGTGTGGTGCTGTGGGTTAATGTGCTGGGCTGCAAAGTTGGTCTGAACTGCAAGATTGGCAGTTCAAGCTCACCAGCCGCTCCTGGGAAATCCTATGTAGGGTTGCTATGAGTCAAAACTGACTCAAGGGCACTTAACAAAAACAACAACAGTCTTTATGGGAGCAACTGGTGTAGGGTTGCCAGATAAAATACAGAAGGTTCAGCTGAACTTGAATTTCAGATAGACAATAAATAACTTTTCAATATAAGCCACTAGGTTTATATTGCACTGCCAATCTCCCATTAACAGTTGAATGCTTAACCATTGTATCACCAGAGCTCAGTCACCCTGGTTTAGAGCCTCTGAAACCAGTTTGGTCTGGTTACAAACAAACCAAACTTGTCTAAACCAATTGTGATTCACTTAAAAGTGGCTTTAACCTAAATCTCCTTGAAAGTTCAGAGCACACCTGTTTAGTCTGGCTCAGGCTAACTTGGAAAGTTCAGACTGTCCTGAATTGGCTTCAATCAAAGAAGATGATCTTGAACCAGTCTCTTCATGCTCTGATTAGAGCTGACCAATCCCATAGCCTATACTGTTTCTGTTTCATTCTCTCTCCTTCCTCCCAGTGGAAGCAGACCTTTAGCAACAGGTGATTCTTGGGGTTCTGGCTTTAATGCATTCGTTTTAGGGGGAAAGAGGACATTTTAAAAGCCTCCCGAGCCCCCGGTGAAAAGCAGCAATGGAAGCTATTACTATCATCATCAATGGTAATGATCATTTCTTGTGGATTAATGAGCAACATCTGGATGGGATTCCTGGCATAGGGTGAAGCACTGGGACCATTCTTTCTCAAAACAAAACTTACTTAAAATGCTTGTTGCCTGAGAAAGACTCAGGGGAAGTACACTTATTATTTTTGAGTGAATTTCCAGGGAGAGGGGGTTATACAATGTCTAGACAAAGCTTGCCATAAAGTACAAAGACGGCTGTGCCAAGAAACAAAAGACAGTAGGGTTTTGCTCCTGATTAGGAAAAGTGCCTTGCCCTATCTATATTATTCCTGCCCAGGGTCAAGTAGTTGGTGTTAGTGTTGACCCAGAGGGGCCAGGGTCCTATGAGTGCCACCTTGCTGATGAGGTGAGACCCAACCACAGTTCCTGAAGTCTGTACTTGTTCTTGAAGTTGTCATGCCTACCTATCCCTGCCTTCGTCTGTTACCCACTCCAAGTGAATGCTTTCCTTTCCATTGGACCAGTGTAAGGCCAGACCATAAACTTGGGCAGTGTGATCTATTCACTTTGGAATTGGCTGAGCCAGCCAGCTGCACTGAGCTACCAAAGACCCTCTCCACATAAGCTTTGCCCATGGAATAAAAGGTACTGTAAAATCAGGATCCTAGTAGATGGGGTTAGAAAGAGAGAGCGCAAAAGAATGCAAACTGTCAGGAGAGGAAGAGTGAGAGGTTGGAAGTCTCTTGCTAATCTTTGCCCTCACAACATTGCCCATGAGGGACTCTGTCCCAGGAATGCTCCCCTGCCTTGGAGGCATTCACCCATTCAGGAAACAACACTGGCTCACATATAGTTGGTTATAGGGTTGCCAGAGAAATACAAGAGGACCAGATCAACTTAAGTTTCAGATAGCCAACCAGTAACTTGTTAGTATAAACCATTGTTTAATCTGAAAATCATTGTATGTCTGAAATTTCCATTTAACTGGGCATCCTGTATTTTATTTGCTAAACCTAGCAACATTAAGGGTGTGAAGATCTGTTTGTTTATGGGTTGGTTCTTTCTTTGGTTAAGTTGTTTGTTCTAGTCTTCAAATATTTTGTTTGTCTTTTTAAGCTTTTTCACTTGTATTTAGCTTTAATGCATTCTGATGTCTTGAGTCATAGGTTTTTCATTGTTTTCATTTTGTCTTTGTTTTTCTAATCTTTGACCACCTACCTTTGCAAACTTCTGCTTTCCCTTTTCCACTAAAATGTACGTAGGTTAAGTTTTTTTTGTTTTTTTCTCTTTCATATCTCTTGTTCCTTATGTTTTAAAGTTCTTTTTACAAGATTCTGTTGGGCAGATATCCAGGTGTAGCTAAAAAGAGCAACCTGCCTTGCTGGGGTGGCGAGGGGGGGTTTGTCCCAGCACCCTAGGAAAAACATGAAGTGGTACTCTTGGGCTAAAGACGGATTTTCTAGCAGCAAGGTGCCCTCCATCCCTAAGCCTGGCACCTGGAAGCAGGGGGTGTGCTTACCTGCAGAGAGCAGAAGGCCTGGGTGAAGGGTGGCATCCGGATCAGGTAGGAGGCAACAATGATGGCCGAGGAGTAGTGAGTGTAGTAGTGGCACTGAACGGTGAGGTCTCCTGCAATGACAGGACAGTCCCTGAGGTCTGCGTCCTCACCCATGCTGCGCAGACACACATACACAGGCCCAACTTCTGAGAGCATCTGAAGGCCATTGTATGAGGGTCAGTAGCCACCATAGGGTGCAAAGCTCATTCAAGGCCAGCAGCTACACCACCCAGTCCCCAGGCTTCTGCCTTTAAGAATGTAGGGAAGACTCAGACCCTGGGAAAGTCAGACTCGAGGACTCTAGGTGAGGTAGTGCTCACATAAGGGGTATGTAGAAGACCCAGAATGCCTACAATTTCACCACCAACTCTTGCTCCTTTAGTTTTCTTCTCTGTGGGCAGAGACGACAGTTTGGGTCAGTGATGCCCCAGGGTGAGAGGAGATACAGACCTTCTCATTTCCTGGACTGAATGGGAACTGCCAGCATTGTGCCCTCGTCAGGGAAAGCCTGAGCCAGGACAGCCCAGGGGAAGATGCCTGTAGCCAGAGCTTGCAGCACTGAATGACAGGGAGTACCTGCCCCAGCTGCATGTCAGTTCTGACTCAGTGACCCTGTACAGGGTTTCCAAGGCTGTAAATCTTTATGGGAGCAGAAAGCCTCATCTTTCTCCCATGGAACAGCTGGTAGTTTCGAACTGCTAACCTTAAGGTTCACAGCCTGATTTGTAACCACTATTTGAACTTCAAGTTTGGCAGTTCAAGCTCACCAGCATCTCCTTGGAAACCCTATACAGGGTCGCTATGGGTTGGAACTGACTCGACGGCACTTAACAACAAAACAACAACAACATGCTACCAGAGCTCCTTAACAGTTCATAAGTACATGTCTTTTATTTAAATATGTTCTTTCAGAAAAAAATATAGCTATCAAATGCATGATAAAACTTCTTTTAAAAATACATATATTGAAGTCTAAGAACCAAGCAGACCTAAAGGAAAACAAAAGGCAACAATAATATAGATGGCCCGTGGGTATGACAAAACTTGTAAAGTTTTGGGAGTCTGGGAAATAGGTTCTAGAGTCAAATAAATGCAAGTCTTGCCATTTATAGGCTTTGTGATCTTGCACAAATTGCTGATTTAAATGTTCTTCCCTGTTAAATAAGCCACGGTACATTGGAAAACACATGACAACCTTGTCTGTCATTATTTTGTACTGAGGTGACTCGTGTGTTGTTATGATGCTGGAAGCTGTGCCAATGGTAGTTTAAGTACTGACAGGGCCGTCCAGGGTGGAGAAGGTTTACTTGAGCTTCCAGACTAAGACAGACTAGGAAGAAAGGTCTGGTGATCTATTTCCAAAAATAAGCCCCTGAAAACCTTTGGATCATGACAGAACACTGTCTGATTTGATTTGCATTCCACACAGGATCAGGAGGGGTCAGTTACTGGATGAGGACATCAAGTTTGGTGTTGTGGAGCTAGAGCAAGGGAGACCCTCAGTCAGAGGGTTAGTACACAACAGGGTACTCAACAGATTGGTGGCTGTCAAGGCGATGCAGGGTCCTGCAGCACTTTGTTCTGTTGCACACAAGGTCACCAGACACCAAAATTCTTCTGTAAAATCTACATACATTCGTTACAACATTATTGGAGTCCTGGTGTGGTGCTGTATAGTTTTGGTGCACTGGACTGTATAGTTGGTTTGAACCACCAGGTTCAAGGTCACAGCTGCTCCTCAGATACCTTATACAGGGTCACTATAGGGCAGAACTGACTTGACAGATCTTAACAACAACATTATTATTAATTGAGCGGGAACCTGTTTTGATTTTCTCCTTATTCTTTAATTACTGCTTCATTAAAAAAGAAAAACCCTGCTGAACTGGGTACACAAATACTAATTACCATACTATTGTACCTAAAACACCTGATAGTTTGACAAAATCAGTAACTATAAAAACACTGGCAGCAACAAAAACAGTGTGTGCATGGAGCAAGTGCAGACGAAATCATGTGATTCAAAGTGTCACTGTAATTGGGGAATAATGACAGTTCTGACCAGATAACATTAGAAGGTTCAAAAAGTAAATTGTTGGTAAGTGCTACCAAGTTGGTTCTGACTCATAGAGTGCCCATATAGGGTTTCCAAGGAGCTCTTGGTGGATTTGAACTGCAGACCCTGGGGTTCGCAGTCCAGTGCTGATCCTACAGCGCCATACCAGGAGTCCTAAAAGTAAATTACCATAGCCTGGTAGGTCTATTGATACATGCAAACTGGACTTATAAAAATGTCTTTGCTGTTCTAACTAACTGTAGGGGTATTTCCATAAAAATAATAAATTTCTGCTGAGAAACTGCACAGAAATTGTATAGACCTCCGACAGTATCATCGCTTATGGTCCACCCCACTGTACCTCTCTAGTAATGCCACTGCTAGGAGAATGACTAAATTGTTAACAACTAGCGTTTCCAGGCATTCAGATATTTCAGAAAAATCGAGCTGTAATCTACCCACCTTCGGTCTTCTCAACTTCTTTAAACCTCTGGATAAATTTCAGCTTTCTTTCCCTGCTCTGAGCCCCCATGGGCTTTGAAAGATCCCGGAAACTTTTGGGGTTTGTCAAGTTCAATGTCTAGAAGGCAGAAATGTGCAGTTGAGTTAACTCCTCCCTCACTGTCCCTTACTCTCGCCACCCCCCCTCCCAAGTCTTGAGGGGCCCAGAGAGACTCTGGAGTCAGGCTGTTTAGTTTTATGGTTCTCTTTATTGGTTTATTGTCATTTGGTCTGACCCCCCTCTGGTGATTAGCAGGCATGCAAGGGTTTTATGGTTGTGGAATCAGTGATCCACAAAGACTTAATAGGGGAGAGATGGAAAATAAGAGGAGGGAAAGATTGAGTTCATACTGAACCTGTTCCAAGTTGACCCAACTCTGAAGATTTTCTCCAGTTACCAGAAAGAGAGTTTTAAAAGAATCCCTGTTGTCTATAAGGTGTTTGTTTCCTGCTCTTACAGAGTAATTTACTTTTCTTGTTCTGAGTGCTTGCTTAGAATCACACTGATTTTGGTAGGATGTTAGTAGGGATCTGTTTGGAGAGAATATGAGGGTTTCATCCTCATTTTCTGAGGCAATGTCCTTCTAGACAATGAAAACATGGGTTGCTCTTCCCTTCATCTGTCCTTGGAGATGCAGACTGGAGAAATGAAGACTTTTCAGGAATCAGGTATACTCAGAGACATTTTCTTGGAGCAAAGATGCTCTATATGTTAGCAGAAAAGATGCATGGTCCTCAAGTCTCTGTATTTTTTATAGAATAAAGCATTTCTTTTTAACCATCTTTAAAATCAGCCATTGAAAACCAATAGGGAGCAAAGTTGTACTCTGACACACCTGGGGCATCCATGAATTGGAGTCAACTTGGTGGTAACTGGTTTTTGTTTCACTAGTAGGGATCCCATCCCAGCTCCGATGGGTGAGTGCCCCAATCTCAGAAACCTGTAGAGACCAAGTAGGTGCAAGAGTACACCAGGTCTCTTGTGAGACCCCAGAAAATGACAGGGATGTGGAGACGTACAATCATCTAAAGGGATGACTGAAACAGCTTTAGCAGATTTTGCCAGGTAAGAATGGAGCTTCATTGTTGCCACATCTCCTGATTGCCCCAAAGATATTAGGAATCCAGATATTTATGAAAAATCACCCAATTTTTAAATGTTGGTGAGAAAAAGTTTTTAAAATATAGGCTATGCATTAAACAAAACATACTTGCAAGCTACCCCTCTGCAATGTGTGAGTTAAAGCTGGGGTTTGCGGGTTTCATTTTTGAAATGCTTCCAACCTCAGGTGGGTCATTAGGATAAGAAGAAATACAGGGCTGGTGAGAAAAGCAGTTGCATTAAATGTCTGAAGTGAGGCTTAGAGGTCAAAGCCCCATTTCCCAAATCTGGGGGATCAGCCTTTCAAGTAATCCCATGCAGGACTGGCCAGGGAACTTTTCCTTTGATACATATGGCCCAGTATGTCTTCGGATGGTAAGAGCCAGGGTGTTAGGGCACTGCTCAGAGACCAGATCATCCCAGTGTCACCTTCCTTCCTGCCTGCGGAGGTCCAGGGATAGATACCAAGAGAGCTGAATGGTCTGGTCTTGCCTTCTGCATCTCCTAGCTCTATGCATTGCAGTCCAGGCCTTGGGGAAGCCCACATACTGTCAGTTCCGTCTACAGGAAGAGCAATTCCTTCTGTTTCTCTTCATGTTTATTCCAGAGCACACCTGCCTCCTTTGTGACACTCACCACCAGTGTGGGTCTATGGTGGCGTCTCAGTATATGGGGATCTTCATGAAAGTGAGTAAACCAAGCAGTCCTCTGTATGATGCTAGCAGCTGTACTATTCATGTGGTCCCTACAGGACCTGTATCCAGGCATCCAAATGTCAAAGACCTCCATGGAGAAATCGGAGCACCAATAACAGCCCTGGGGCTCAGGCCTGCAGTGAACCTCATGGAACTCTTTGCTTTCCCACTTAGGCTGTGCTGGCTAGCTTGGTACCAGACCCTCAGCACACCTGCACACTGTTAGATAGGAACCCCCTTACCTCTGAGGTGTAGTCAGCAAGAACCCAAGGATACACTGGATACTGCATGTAGTCATTGTAGGTCCTCCCAGCCAGTGTGTTGAGGTACATGAGATACTCAAAATTGCTGACTTCCCTTTTCTACCAGAAGAGACACACACACACACACACAAAGGCATAAATCACATGTGTCTGAACTTCACAGAGGTCTAGCTAGCAACCCTTTAAAGGAAGCCCTTTTCCTGTAGGTGTCAACTTGGCTGCTCCCATGAATCTCGGCCACCAGCCAACACCAACTCAGGAATATACACACTTTCAATAGGAACTGCAAAAATTTATTTAGGAAGCTAAATCTGCCTGAAAACAAGAGCACAGCTTAGCAGTCCAAAGTCAAGGCTAAAACCTCCTTTGTGTTTACTGCTGGATGTAATACTCAAAAGTTGATGAAATACACAAATGTTGTGGGTTAACTTATTATTGACCCATTTATGATTTAAAAAATAATAAATTGAGGGAAATCTTGGTAACAGAGAAGAGGTAGTCACTGAATTCAGAGGGAATGAGTTCACCAAGAGTGTCCTCCAGGACTTTCAGGGCTGCCTGTTCCCTGTCCCTGATTGTGGGATAACGGCCATGCCTAACAGCCCTCAGTCTCAAACCAAGAGAGGAATGGCATTTGGGAAAAATTCAACAGGGCCAGTAGGTGAAGGAAGAGTCTTATGTAGTTGTCATCTCTGATAATGGGACCTATATGCTTTCTTCCCATTGGTCTCCTCATTGGGAAAGGACTGCAGGAATAGGGACCCAGAGCCACTTTCTTGTTGCCACATGATCTCTAAGACTGACCCCTTGGGGTCTCTTCCTTTAACTCAGAACCCTTGAAAGACTGTCAGCCTCAGACAGGCTGGGAGTCACATGTGTCTGCCCTGGAACAATGTTCACTCACGCCCTTCCCGTGTTATATACGTCTTACACACATTCACACACCTTCATGGATAGAGCACGAGGGCAAGACCACAGAGGCATTGACTGCATTCACATACACGCATAATACACATATAGGTACACATATACACATGCAACACACACATGTGTGCACACACACAACACTCACCCCCCAGCTCTGACTCCAGTGCCCAAGCACCTCTTTTCATCACTGGGATTTCCTGAGGGAAATATTTCAGACTTTTGGGGCAAATTAAAAAACAACAAACAAGGTTTCTTGTGGAGTACTCCTTATACTTCTTTCATCATAGGGTCCTGAGCTATTTTCTGGTTTAACTCCTGAGGGCTGCCTTAGGCACAGGGGTAGCCTTACCTGCCACTTCTGCAGCATGGTTCTGTCTGAGCCAGGGTGTTTCCTGGGAAGAGAAAATGATGAAGGTGAGCACCCATCTCAAGGCATGAGCAAGGGAAGAAGTGTGGTGCCTTGTGGCTTGGTGGGGCAGGGCCTTCAGGAAAGTCACCCCCACCCCCCACTTTCTTACTTCCCACCCTCAAACTCCGAGGAGTTCCAAGCCAGTGCAGCAAAACTGCTGCCTATGTTCTCCTTGCCTTTACCCTGCCCAATCAGGGGTACAGTTTTGCAGCAACACCCCATTTATGTGACACAGAATATATGGTGCAGCCAGAGAAATGTGAGACAAGGCTGGGGTTCTTGTTCTCAACCACAGCCCGGAGCCTCCAAAACCACAGCTTGTTTTCTATGCTTTCTTTTCTCCTTTAAATATGAATACAGTACATGCACGTGGTAAAAGTCTTTGGGCAGTGCAAATGACTAATGGGCTCAACTTCTAGCTAAACAGGTTGGAGGCTAGAGTCAATCCAGAGGCACCTCAAAAAAAACAAACCTATCCATCTATTTCCAAAAACAAATCGCCACTGTAAACAGCCACAGTTTTGCTCTGGCACACACTGGGGCAACGTAAGTCAAAGTGGACTTGAAGGCAACTGGGAGTAAAAAGAAAACCACTGCCAACAATATTCACAGAAGGCCTGCAATCAGGAAGGCAACAGCTCCAAACTCTTGGCCTCACTCTTCTAAAAGTGTCCATAATTAACAGTTGCTTGTGTACTATTCTAGAAACAGTTTAACTAAATTCCTGTATATATGCTTATAGATTTTGAAATCTCTGACATCCATGGGCTCACGTTACATACAGTTTTCCCCCTGCTTCTGGTGCGCAGCTGCTCCCAGCACTCAGAGCTCACTCCTGTCCCTGTCGCAAGTAGCATAATGGCCAATGTGCTCTTCATCAATTGGGCCCTCAGCCTATACTGCACTTTGTTGTCACAAACAGGGCTCCATGACTGCCAAAGGACAGAACTCTTTCTTCCTTGATGAATGTAATCATGAGAGAAAGCTTCTAGCCATGGCATGACTGGATTAAATAGAGCCTTTTCAATTTGTGCCATACTATCAAATTCCTCTCTTTTAAAATTGTACCCATTTATACTTCCATAGATAAAAGGAAGAACTTCACATTCAACTGATGAAACATCATTTTGACTGTGCTGGTAGGCAAGAGCTGAAAAGTTCAATAAAATGAAGGGCTGAAAGGGTGTGGTCCGTGGCTTTGAGAGTGGGAGAGTAGTCATTCTGTATGCATGACCCTGAGTGTAACCATTTGGAGAATTTAACTAGTCTGCTTTGTTGTTGCTGCTGTTGTGTCGTTGAGTCGGTCCCAACCCATAGCAACCCTGTATAGTTTCTGAGGAGTAGCTGGTAAGGTTGAACCACGATGATATTGCAATTCAAACTGACTTTACAGTCCAGGGTGTTACCTCACAGCACCTGCTAAAGGTAAATATAATCCAGCACTGCCTGAAAGCATTTTACACACTCACTGTCCTAGTCTGCCCTGTCTTCTTAGGGATATGCTTTAACTATTGTTAGAATGTGACAGGTCACCAAGTTCTGCTTGGAGCCTGTTTGTGTAGCTGCTGATTAGGGGAAGCCATCTAGGCATATGCACTGAGAGAGTTAATCGAGTACCCCCTTATGATGTATTTATGGGAACCGATGACCACCTTGTGAATTCATGTGAAGGTTAGAATTATAAGGTTATAGCCCACCTGCACATTGGAAACTAATTAATACTGTTAAAATGAGTATAAATATTGCTTGTAAAAGATAGTCATTGGACACCAAGCCAACCTCTTTGCTGCAGGTGTTCCTTAAGTTAACTTCCTACTAATAAAGGCTTTTATTTCTTTGTTTATCTGGAGTGTTTGTTGTTGTTGTTAGGTGCCATTGAGTTGGTACCGACTCATAATGACTCTACACACAATAGAATGAAAAACTGCCTGAGCCTGCGCCAACCTCACAGTTGTTGCTACGTTTGAGTGTTTGTTAATTGGACTCAATCACTCCAGGGCCTCAGACCCAAGCTTTGGGATAAGCACTTCTCCTCTGCTCAGCCAGAACTCATTACTGGCTTTGAAGATCTGTTTCTTTGTCTCCATGGTATTCTCCTCCCAAGACCCGGTCTTTGTTCAAGATGTTCCACCAAATAAAATCATATCAAATATGCCACCATCCCCCATGCTGGCTGCAACCTTGTACAGATGTCCACTGACATCACACTCCATATAAAGGACCTGGTGTTTTTAGGGTAAGGGAAAAGCAGGAAAATTACTGGGGCAGCAGAAAAGTGGCATTGGGAAAAGATCAATAGAACAATAAAAACCCTCCAAATACAAGCAAGAGAGGAGCAGAATGTGGACAACAGATAGAATCTTTCTTAGCAGGTGGCAGGATATAAACAAAACAAAAACATCTATCTCCTTGCTAGGCAGTCAAGATACAAATAATCTCCTTTTGTGTTCAGAACCCAGCAGGGCTTGTGAGTCCTTCCTCCCTATTCAACAACCCAGCGGGAGTTGTGAACCATCAACTACACATGAATCTCCCCCTTAACCAGCTTTCAGCACAGACACAAAACTGGTTATGTCAAGTATCCCAGATGCCTCCATCACGGAATTCATCTTGAAATCCTAGACTCCCAGAATGCCAGATGCATGAGCAGCACGGGGAAAAGGAGAGACAGACGTGACTCACCAGAGCAGAACTACATAGACAGGAAAGCCCACCTTCCTTTTTGAAATCAAAACAAATGTTGTTGTAGAACACAACATTGTTGTCGAAAAATCTCATGTCAGTCTGTCAGCGCAGTGAGATGCTGCTGCCTATAGCATGTTTCCCTTGGCAAGTATTCTTGTTCTAATAAACCTCTTTCATATAATATATCATGACTTTCTAGTTATCTTTAGCTCAATAACAGTTGTAGTTCAGGTGATGGAATGTAGACTGCATGTGGCCTGGCTGGCCAAGTGCTGATGCAGGGGTTGTTTCTTCATCTTCCCATCAAAGCCTCAGCATCACACTATCTGTCCAAAAAGTGCCTGTTACAGGCCTTCCCAGTCCTCTGCACTTGACAGCAGCTTTTCCTTAAAGAGAAAGCAACTGCTGGGCTGGGAAGCACACTCTCTCCCAATTAGAAATTAAGCCCATTTTATTTTCTAATGTCCTTTTATTAGAATTTTTTTTGGGTCCATTTTATCCAACCTTCCAAACCTCAAAAATCAAAACAGTAGAGTCATAAAGAGTCTAAATGTATTTCTGTAATTTGCAAAGGCTCAGTCGAACATTTAGTTTTACAGCACCATATGGGCTGGTGCAATACCTCCTAGCTCTGAAGGGTAACCTGCTTTTACAGACCAGCACAGAGATATCATTGTTGATGTCCGATGAAAGCAGAGAATATCAGAAAGATGTTTACCTGTGCTTTACTGACTATGCAAAGGCTTTTGGTTGTGTGGATCATGACAAGCTATGGACAACATTGTGAAGTATGAATATTCCAGAACTCTTAATTGTGCTCATGAGGAATCTGTACCTGGACCAAGTGGCAGTTGTTTGAACAGAACATGGGAACACAGAATGGTTTAAAATCAAGAAAGGTGTGTGGCAGGGTTGTATTCTTTCACCATACTTATGAAACCTGTATGCTGAGCAAATAATCCAAGAAGCTGGGTTCTATGAAGCAAAACATGGCATCAGGATTGGAGGAAGAGTCATTAACAACCTATGATATGCAGATGATACAACCTTACTTGCTGAAAGTGAAGAGGATTTAAAACATTTACTGATGAAGATCAAAGAGCACAGCCTTCAGTATGGATTACATCTCAATGTCAAGAAAACAAAAAGCCTCACCACTGGACCAATAAACAACATTCTAATTAACGGAGAAAAGATTGAAGTTGTCAAGGACTTCATTCTTCTTGGATCAACTACCAACACTCATGGAAGCAGCAGTCAAGCAATCAAATGATGTATTGCATTAAGCAAATCTGCTGCACAAGACCTTTTTAAAGTGTTGAAGAGCAAAGATGTCAGCTTGAAGACTAAGGTGCACCTGACCCAAGCCATGGTATTTTCAATAACCTCGTATTCATGCAAAAGCTAGACAGTGAATAAGGAAGACCGTAGAAGAATTGATGCTTTAGAGTTATGGTGTTGGAGAAGAATATTGAAAATGCCATGGGCTGCCAAAAGAACCAATAGATCCATTTTGGAAGAAGTGCAGCCAGAGTGCTCCTTGGAAGCCAAGATGGCTAAACTTCGTCTCTCATACTTCAGACATATTGTCAGGAGGGACCAGTTGCTGGAGAAGGATATAATGTTTGGTAAGGTGGAGGGTCAGAGAAAAAGAGGAAGACCCCCAGTGATATGGATTGGCCAAGTGGCAGCATCGACGGACTCAAGCCTGGCAACAGTAGTAAGATTGGCCCAGGATCGGCCAGTGTTTCGGTCTGCTGTGCATAAGATCATTACGAGTCGGTACCAACTCGATGGCACCTAACAACAACAACAACAGACCCGGGTTGCACAGGGAGGACGTGTGTTAAATCCTGTGGAGCTGTAAAGGCCTGAGGAAACATGCTAATTTCGCTACTTCATTTTCAAGTTTGACAGGGGAGTAGAATTTTTAAGGGTCAGGAAAAGAGAGAGGTCATCTCTGTCATCTTCCTTTTCAGAAAAGGTTCTAGAATTTTATCCATGGCCTGTTGTGATGTCACCAAGGAGAATGGTGTGCAAACAGCATCCCATTGTTCATGTCACCGGCTGTGAGCTCCAAGGAAGGTCCATCTGCCTCATTCCCAGCTGAGAAAGACACCACTCCCAGCAGTGCTTAGATACGAGACCAAAAGTGAGTTCTGGTTTACAAAAATCTATGAATCTGAATCTATAAATAGAATACATTTTTAACATATATTTATATCCACACCTAAAGATGAGGCCTTCTTCTCTTATAAAGATTTACAGCCTGGGAGTCACTGTGGGAACAGCTTTATG